GAAACATTTTGATTTAGACTCGAAAACGCTGGAAATGGTGAAATGGGGATGCAGTTTAGAGGTTGAAAACCGTTTTTTTGCGATTTGCGGCGAAACCTGACCACCGTTGTTTAAACAAAGTAGTAAACCGTTGCTCAGAAAACCTTTTTTTAGATGTGAAAATTGCAGTCTCGGGTCTCGTAAAGCTTTAATAACTCATTAACCGATGAATTATAACTCGTTAACTCAGAGCGCCGCAACAACTCAATAGCGCAACTCAACACAGTGTTACCCAGGCCTACTGCAAGCTACAAAATATTCTTTTAACCACGAAATAACCCAGTTCCGTTACTTATGAAAAATGAGGTCCCTTTTTTTGTTGTTTGGACAGTGATCGAACGTTACTCAGAAAAAATGTCAATAACCCTTTTTAGATGTGAAAATTCCAGTCTCGGGTCTCGAAGAGCTTTGATCCGCTTTAATAAATGAGTCATACCTCATTAACCGATGAGTTATAACTCATTAACTCAGAGGGCGGCGACAACTCAACACAGTGTTACCCCGACCTAGTTTACTGCATCGTAAAAAGTGTGTTTTGGTGTTAGTGCGTCAACACCTAAAAATCCACCGTGTTACTCAGGCCTACATCCAATTGAGGAAACAGTGTGGTCCAACAAAATAGTTCGATTTTCCACATCTGAAAACCTGTGCTTTGATGAACTGCTCATCACTCATTCCCGGGCAAAATGAAACGTAAAAACAAAACACTTGATTTTTTCGTTGGCCAACATCCACTCAGGCGGACCGGTGCTGGAGGTAAATATAAAATAAATGAGGCAAATCAAGTTTTCCAGATTTCCTCAAGTATCCGTCGAAATAAAACGAAAACTTTGCGATTCTGTAGCGGAAACGGGAATAAAAATTCCGGTGTTTGCGTTTCGCTCTTATTCTGCTCCGGTTGTGTCGCTCGCTTAACGAGGCGCGACTGTCTAATGTTTTAGCGGGTAGTGATTTAATCGTAATGTCGACCAGCCATTGTCGAAATATCGACAAACTCATTAGTGTGAAAAGTGTAATTGTGACACCGGTCGTGTGAGTTGAGACATGTGACAAACGCACGCTCTTGACACCTCGCGCAATCACGTAGGCTGTCGCGCGATAACAAATGAGTTTCTCACAGTTTGATTGGTCGCACTCATCTAGATCTAGGGCGACGTTGCCACACTTACCGGTATGCGTTCTTTGGTGGGCCTTCAAGTGGGAGCTTTTCGTGTAGACCTTTTTACATCCGAGGAATTGGCACTTGTGTATTCGTCGTTTTGAGTCCGGAGACTGATCTAACCTGCAATCCAAACCACAGTCTCTGTTGAGTGCTTGTGGGAAAAAGTGAGAAGCGGCTAGTAAGAGAACAGAATCCTTGCGACGTTGCCTTGCCACGCTATGTCAAATTTGAATTTGGTACCTCAAATTCTCCATACACCGTTTCTGTGTTATTTAAAATGCTCATGAGGTGATTCTGTTTCTATGAGTTTTCTAATTAAAGTTTTTATGAGTTACTAATGGCAGTATGTATGGCAAGGAATGTATCACAAAATTACTGCTGCATGTTATTGTTATTTTGTGTGTATAATACATATAAAATTATTTTTTAGTTGTTATTTATTGTTTTCAAAAGTGTTTAAAAACCTGGCATTATTTACTGATTGATCATACAAGTTCATCATATGAGCTGAAAGAAAAATGCCGTGGACATACGCTTATCTACGGTTTAATCTTAAGACTGGTTATGCGTTATTTGAACTGCCATTATAGCTTTTCGCAATACATTTCTTCTTATATAGCATATATGTTCTGAGATTAGTAATAGAGGGCTTATCCGAGTAATTTTT